TATATATATATATATATATATATATATATATATATATATATATATATATATATATACGCATCACTTTGTTGACTGTGACTGAACCCTCAACAGAACATAACATTGTACTGGGAGGTGAATGACCTTCCAAGCAAACACTTTTGTCAACATGTAAACATCCAGAAAAAAAAAATAATCTGGGCTGAAAATGATTTAGCCTTCTCACATAAAATACAGCCCTAAATTTGCATGAATTTAATTTCTGCAATTTTATATGATTATAACCCCTCTACTGGACCAAAAGAGGCTGAAATCAGTCCCCTATAAAACATGGAATAAGTATAGATATTAAAATCAGATTGTGCTATAGAATGATTGTGGTAAAGAGAATATGTTATTGTAATTAATAAGCCAAGCTAACAACATGGAGGTCCTGTATTGTGATTACAATGACACACGTATGGTAAATATATTTTCACCTGATATGCCTTAACCATGGTCTTAACAACCAGCCATAAATCATGTTACATCATCATATTTAAAGTGCATTACATTATCTATGAATAATAAAACACTAAATAACTGCATCTATTTAAAAATTAGTGAAAAGCGATATATTTTTTACCAGCATCTTAACAGGTTTTCATGGATATTTTTCACAGCATAATCGTGTTTCTTTTTTATTGTGTGATTAATTGGTCAGGGGTCCACAAAAACAGGAGAATTGACGGGGAAAAGGATTTTACTGGGCATTCACATACTGGCAGGCATCCATGAAGATTCCACCTTTTTGTGTCACTGACTGCAATTAGTTATAAGAATTGTTGGAGTTGTTTTTATACTTCTTCCATCCAGAGAAATGTCTTTGATAATGTTTTACTATCACTTCCACTGTGCATTATTCCTGATCAATCATACCAGGTGTTTTTGACATACATCATCTGACTGCATTGTTAGAATCAAATGAGGCCTGATAGAGATTTTTTTTTTTAAATATTTGGAGGTGAAATATTCAACAGTCAAGGCCAAAGGGAGGTTAAAGTTTGCCAGTTGTACATGACCAACTGAGAGAATTTCATAACTTTGCTTTATGATTAGCAAGGGGGTAGATAAAAAAATTTTTGGGCCAGGTTAAAGTGACAGTACCTAGACCTAACATGAATTTTGTTTACACTTTACTTGGGTGTAGAGAATTAGAATTTTTTCAGTCTGTTGTTTGAGATGGATATGAGTAAGGAAACAGAAAAGGTCAAGGTCAAAGATAGAAGCTAAGACAAAAATGTAATTTCATTTTATGCCTTCTGGACACATGAAACTTTGTTCTATGAACATCTACAATTCTCTGCTTTAATGTTAGATCACAATTTTGAGTATTATTATTCCTTTTTTGCTTTTCCATGTTACTCAAATTTTCCTCATTCTAATGCACAACCTTTGGGTTAAGTTTCATCTTTTATAAATTTTTCATCATAATTAAAGTCCAAATTTAGATAAGAATTTATAAAATACACATGTTTGTGAAAATGACTTTCCAAATATAAATGCTTTAGGTTTCATCACAAGCCCTTTGGTAAACCACAAAAAATTTTAGTTACATATGAGCTGATAATGCCTCTCCATTGTCAAGGTCTACTGTACAAGTGGCATGAACATACTCCATTGAAACTTTATGAAGGGCATAAAAAAGCATCAAATTGTGATGACATGATATAAAGGTTGTTATTTGACCATTAGACACTGAGATAATGTCTAGTAGCAGCATGTCTGGAGACATTGAGGGTCACATGACAAGGTCATGATTTTGTCTGGAGTAAAGGGCAAGGTCATGATTATCACACAATGTTGAAGTAAATGAAGAAAGTTACCAAGATTTTTAGAAATAATACTGTAAGATCAGTTATTTTTGTGGTTTGAGGAAAAATATTGGTTTGTTGGGATTTGATTTCATGGATGAAGAATTGTTGAGTAGTTATACGTAAAACTTTTACATTTCATGATAGACATGAATTTGAGGATCTCTTCATACCTCAAAACAACAAAAATTAACCCCCCCCCCCCCCCCCGAAAAAAAAAAAAAAATTAGTGATTTCACAAGAACTGAATCATTGCACATGCCAAGCAAACACTTCTTTTTTATTGTGCTCTTGCTTGCAATTTTTAAAATGCAAGGACTTAAATTTGACACCGTAACCTGTTCTTTGAAAGTCAACACTTCATTTGATGGAACAACTTCATTTAATTCTAGAGAAGTAAGGGTGACTTTTTACCAAGGCATTGTGTTAATTAGTTAGATCAATTACTGTTAGATACAGGCAAATGCAGGAAAGTAACTAATGAACATTTTCATTCTTCTATCTCTTCCCAAGTTTTGAAGTTCAAAGGGATTGACACTTCAGTAACATGTAAACACAATTTTAGAATCAAATAAATTACAGATTACAAACAAAAAGTCACTATTCCATTCTAAAATCATTTGTGTTTAGAAAGGCAAATTTTCTGTGTTATGTGTTGTTTTTTTTATTCAAGTACCATATGAAGCCAAGAAATAACTTAAATGAAAATCAATTGACAGTGTGAGCACTTCCTTTATAGGAAAAATCAGTGCTACGACAGGACCTGGCAATGTCTGCAACCCGCTCCCTGCCTCTAAATGAGATTATTAGGGTAAAAATGGATAAATCCCATTATCCCATCTGTCAAGTGAAACAATTCCTATTAATCTGGTCTCTCTCCTCTGTGATGAACTCGATTCATTAGAGCTTGGACATGACTGCCACCGCCTCAATCAATAACAGCACTGACTGGACAAATGATTCAAAGCTTTTCAAAAAAAAAAAAAAAAATCAAAATAGCTACACCTATTTGCAGCTGTGTTTGTTGTAACCCCCTTCCCCCATTTTCTGAATTCCTAAAAGCTCTTTAATTAAACCTAATTGTTTCAAAAATTAATTGTCTTAAGCTGTAGCTGATACAAATTATGACCCCAGCGTTGACAAATACAACCTTCCGTAAACATAAAATGGACATTTATATATAATTAGGTATCATTTGTAATTTTGAAGTCTGTGACACATGATGCTAGTTCACTCCCTGACACCCACCAATTTGTAATCATTTATCATTCAAATCGTCACAGTAATTGATTGATCAAAGATCAAAACCAAACCTTGAAATAGCTATAGCTCACTTTCTAACATTCTAAGAACTATAACTCTTGGAAGTTCATTTTTTTTTTTTTTGGATTCTGATCACCAATATATCTCTGTGCATTGCTTACAGCCGAGACAATAACAAGCTCCCATTTCAAATCAATAAACAGCAGAAATGAAAATAAAATATTGATGTTGAGGAACAAATCCTCATTGCTGATGTAACTTTTTGCTTAATCACATGTGTCAGCACCATAAAAAAAGAAGTATGCAATAGAAACATTTTCTGCCTAACAGATTCCTTTGTATTGAATAAAAGCAAAGCAATTAGGTATGAGGGCTCAACACAGACTGCCAGAAGACGACCACATCGATTTCTATTTGCTGTGTGCACATATTGTGATATTTAAGGATATATAGCTGTCATTTAATGGGAAGCAAATCAACAGTTGATCGATACCTGACTAAAGATCTGTCACAAATAAATAACGCTCCCTTTTTAGCCTACCTGAATTAAAAAAAAATTCTTTTTTTGCTTATCATCACTGATCAGGTGTAACTTTAAATGGTGAAGTTTCATTTGAGTTTAGTTGATACATGAAATGTATGAAAAAATGATATTCCAAGTAGTTATAAAAAAGGGGAAACAACTAGGAGAAATGGAGATACGATATATATTGACAAAAAGAACTGTTTAATACAAGGTGAAGGCATTTATACACATGTAGATAGTTACCAAGATTTTCATATACATTTGTACATGATCAGAGAGAAAAAAAAGTTATCCATGAATGCTTACGTTTGTAAAAGTACCAGTGGAGAAAGAGACAGGGTTCGGTAAGGTTAGGAGATATAAGGAGATACATGTATATAAACCTCAGATAATAGTGAGTGAAGTGAACTTCTCATCACAAGTAAAATGCAAACTATTTTTAGATTAAAAATTGAATTGATTTGAAAAAAAAAATTATTTTTACAAATCAGTGCACTGAAAGTAGAAGCAGAGAGACTACCGGTACTTCAAAATGTTTTCATTTTGCCTAATCAAGATTATATTTGCTCTTTTGAAAAGAAAAAAAAAATTACCGTTAAAGTGTCACTGGGCTTTCAGAAGAGGTAATTTGACAAAATTGTTTAAAGAAATCATCATTTTGTCCATCCTCACAAAGTCAAGGTTTTGTGATTTCGGAACTTCACACAAACTCTTGACATAAGTCGCTATTTAAAAGTTTGGCTTGTGGTTACACATGATGTAATGGGTAATTATGAACTAACCAATGAGAATTTATTTTTCAAATCCGTCGTTTTCAAATGGCCCAACTCCAGAGCACATCTTTTGTGATTGTAAGGAGGACGATCTTCTAAAAAATAATTCCCGATGTTTCATTAATGTAACTACGGTAGTCGAAAATCCTACAATATTGACACTTTCTATTTTAAAGATGAGTCATATTTGTTTACAAAACTTACCTACAATAAAAGCTGTTTTCTGATTGGTTCCAGTCCTAGACCAGGAACAAATGAAATAGTAGCTTTCGAGCCCAACTTTTAAATAGCGACTTATGTCAAGGGTTTGTGTGGAGTTCCGAAATCACAAATCCTTGACATTGTGAGGATGCATTTTTTCCAGTAGAAAATTTAATGTCTGATTGAAAATAAAAAAAAAAATATAAAGTATCCAAAATTTTCTTTGCACATCATTTCATGATAATTTGGGACTCAAATATTCTTTGCAGTATTTACATATACATGTACAAGTAGTGATGGCTGAATATTTTGAATTTTAGGATTTCATATCCATTTGAAGTAAATTTTGTATTTGAAATTCGTTGTGGACCTCTTAGTATGACTGATCGTGTTTTTGGTAGATTACTAACCTGCAGACTTGGTTGAAAACTTGTCTCTATGTGCTGCACAAACTGCAAGTAATCTGTATCCCAGGTCAAGGTCATATCCAGGTTGCGGGGCAACTTGACTCACAATCTGAAAATACATTTTTTTTTTTCACTACATAGTCTTGGATACCTTTAAGTGTTTATAAATTGTGACTGATCACCATGATCAGTAAAGAATCATAACTCTCTCAATATGCTGTCTTGTAGAAAAACATTCTCCCTTCACTTCAGAATCAGAATCATTTTATTTCGCTCAAACCATACATAATGCTACATGAGGAACATAAAGTATAAAACATATCTATTAAATCGTCAGAGGTACATATGACATATATACATAAATAAATATTTTACAACTGCATGGAGAAAGGACAGACATATAATAATAACAGTGTATATGTAATCCTTGCATTGAAGAACTCTAGGAGAACAGTTATGGAGAACAGACAGTCTCAAAGATATTTGAAATAAATGTACAAAGTTTTTTCTCAGATTTAACATTTGAATTTGACATAAGTTCATAGAACTTTGCAACATTCAACAGTGCAAGAAAGAAAAAATCTTTTGAACTAATTAAAAAAAATGCTCCTATTTATTTGAGTTATTTATCAAGAAGTCTGAGCCCAGCAATTTTGCAAATAATGATTATCATATTAAAAAAGTAATCAACATTTTTATTGCATGATTAGAATCCTTTCTAATGTTTACTAACCAGTAACCTTTTTAATCAGGTGAGCTAAAATCATTAATCCTATCCTAATAATTGATATTACTGACAATTTTATCTAATTCTCTTGACCAAATTAAAGTAATTCATGAAATGCAAGTAGCAAAGAAAATTTCATATTGGATCAATAAACACAGCATGGCTAAACACCATCCAATTGATATTGGTAGCAGTAATTATTAAAACTGGCATTAGGCATATTGATCATCGAGACAGGAAATGATGCGGTTATATCCTGTCTATTTCCACCATCATTATCAATGCCAGTTTCAACACTTTTTTTTTGTTGTTTGTTACATCTTAACATATTAGCATATACCGGTAGATGCATAATTTAAATATTTCTTAAACTTCTCCCTAAATTTCTGAAAAAGATACACACACACATGAATATACATTCCATAACCACTGCGAGTTAGTAACCAGTTTTTTTTTTTCCAAGAGACACTAAGCTTACCCATCTTCTCAAGATGGGTTTTTGATCCATTCTGCTCCCCATATCTAAAAACCCTTGGCTTGTGAAGATGAGGAGCACAGTAGATTTAAAAACCCATGGCTAGTGAAGATGAGGAGCAGAGTAGACTTAAAAACCCTTGGCTAGTGAAGATGAGGCTTGCCAAGTGTCTCTTAAAAAATTTTTAAAAAAAGGAAAAAAAGCAGAGTTTGAGAAAACTGATTACTAATGAGCACTGGTTATAGGACCTGTTTTTTCCCCATTGACTTGAGTATTATTTTTTTGGTGAAATAAACATGGTACTGAAGAGGTATGTTGCATATACCATTAATATACAGAAGATGATACTTGATGATCTGTCTAAATGAAATATACAAGGGAAAAGTTCTAAGAATAAGAAATTGATATCATAAATGTTTAGTACAAACAATCTGCATTTTGTGCCATCATAGGCATAAACTTGGAGATGTAGTCTGTGGAAAAAAAGCCAAACAGAGTCGTCCTTGGTGATTGAACTTGAAAAAGAGAACAATTGGAGTGATGAAACACAGTTGATAATGGGAGAAATAAAGGTTCCATAACTTTTGCAAGTTAGTTACTAGTTCCTTAATTTTTTTTAAATGTCCAAAGACACATGGCCTGCCCAGTAAATATATGACCAAAATGCATCTATTGAAATGTTATAAGTGTAGAAGAAATATCTATTAGTGAGCACTTTTGATTTCTTAATCATTATTGTCTGCTACTGGAAACCAAGCCTCAGAGGAATAAAAACCAATATTGGGTAAGGGAAAAGTCTACTACAGGTGTGAAAATCTCACATTTAAGGTCAACCAGTCATTTCTCAATACAGAACCTTAAATTAATAAAAACCGTAAGTGAATCTGAAATTATTACAAATGCTGTAAATCACAGTCAGTTGATGACTTAACTCAGTCTCATCTCATGCATATGCAGTGTTAATTGAGTGTACCTTTTCAACTCACTCTTTCAGATTTTATTGCTAGAAGATAAAAGTGGTTATTTATTTTCAGCACATTACAAATTCATAGTAGATATCATAGTAACTAGTCCACTCACAGTAATAACACCATTCCAGGTTGGACACAGTTTTCCATGGCATTCTTGAAATATTATCATTTTCATCCTTCTTAATAATAGACTTTTCCACTTTAAACACCAACAATTTCATTAAAAGTAACCTCAGATGTTTGAAAATTCACAGAATGACCTCATAATTAATACTTTTTAAATGCACGAATAATTTTCCTGCAACCCAAAGATAAAAAATGGCCAATATCTGCCCCCAAAATCAAACTTTGATGGGGAAATCTAAAGTATGTTCTAAGCCAGTAGGATATATGCAGACTTCAAAGCATTAAACATTTTCATTCGCTGTGACATCATAATTAAGTTAGATATGACATCAGAATATGTTCATACAACATTTCAATGATTTTGAAATTAAATACTTTGTTATACGTACGTCAATAATCTGTTTGTTGAGATATAAATAAATGAAATAAGAATATCAAGTTATACAATATCAATTTAGTTTTGATAAATTTAAACAAATTAATGTTGAAAATAAAAGGCTAGTCATTGAATAACTATGTACTAGTATTTTAATTATGCTATCAAATGCAATTATAAGAGAGAGACCTGGCCCAAAGACTATAAATTGAGAACATACTGTATGTGTACTTAAAAAAGCGGGCTTCATATTTTAGCGGCTTTAGCATGGACAATGATGCGCTAATTCATGAATACTGCTAAGAAATCATTTATAAATGCAATACATGGTATGGACATATGTTTAGCGCTAATTCATGATTACGCCAACAACTCCATACCCAGTGATTGCGCTAAATTTTGAATATGCCAATGTATGTACACGTACAGTACTTAAGTCAAAATTTCAAACCAGTATAACTTTTGAAGTAATTTTGATTATGCAATGAAATTTTCATCATATGTTTGAATTTAAATGTTGTACAACATCGAAAATTTTTTAAGCAATTTAATACATTAAATAAAACTCAAGACATTAAAAATTCAAATTTTGACTTAAGTCTGTTCTCAGTTTATGGTCTTGGGGCCAGATCTTTAATTATTCTGCCCAATTCCCAAGAGATATAGATAACACATACTGCTTAATCAGAGATGTTCTAACAGAAATTATTAATTAAGTCAGCCTTCCTACATTGAACTCATTAATTAATCTTTTAACTGGACAAACTCATTACTCCCATGGGATGAATGGATTTACACTCTATCTGCTGTGTGATGCACTAGCTGTTAATGCAATTTGCTGCATATTTATGTCATTTCTATAAAACCAAGATCTGTTTTTATAATTTGATTGTAATAAAGCTGTATATCATGAAAAAATATACTTTTGATGCAACATTTTTTTTTTATTAAGGTTACGTTTGTAGGGATTATCTGCCTTAAAACTTTTTTAAAACTAGAACATTTTTAAAATTTTAGTGACCTCATTTTAAGCTGCAATTCACATTTCTTTACAGATGTACCAATGGCTAGTTTCTTGATTTGACTCAAATCTACATGAACCCAAAATGATTTAAGTCTACAAAAATGAAAAAAAAAAAATTGTACACTACAAAATAGTTACCCAATCATGATGAAAATACCACAAAAATCCTTATTCCAATATACCCTCCCTAAACTTTGTTTGTGGGGATACACATTGTTTATATGCTAGGCACTTAGTCTACAATTTAGTGGGACAACCCTTGTAATAGTATTGACCACACCTTTTGAACATCAAGCAATCTCATTATGGAGGTATAACCTTGGATATTACTGGCATTTTTAGTGATTATTGAAAAAAATAGGCAAACATTGCAGAATAACACTCTTAATGGTACTATATCACAAATGCAAAATCTTGAATTCCCTTTCTTTAAGGGAGTATCAAGTTGGTTTGAAATTGGTCCAGATGCTCTGGAGAAGTTGAAAATCTGAAAAGTATTCACATGACGTATGACAGACCATTACACAATACCTTAGCTCAAAAAAAAGGAGGTGGTGGTGGTGGTGGTGGTGGGGGGGGGGGGGGGGGTAACTTCCCAAAATTATCTGTCCAAATCCTGGAATTTGCAAGTGCTCGACCTTACCCTCAACCCACCCACACCCCACATTCTACAGGCCTGAGCTAAAAACACTACTGCATAGTCTACATGATATAAAAAATATGATTACTGTTATTCAAAATACTGATATACATTCTTTCTCTTTAAAAACAAGAGGCCCATGGGCCTTGAATCGCTCTTCTGATTAACTGTACAACCTATCACTTCTATTTGAAGCCTCGAAGTATCCTGTATATTTACATAAACCCTTGAAATTCCAATTCACACTCTGAGAACCCAAGATGATTCTAAGCCAATTAGTACCTGAGAGTTGCTCATGGTGACCTACTTATCACTTGTCATTCTCTGAGGACCCATCAACTAAGTTTGATGATTCTAAGCCAATTAATACCTAAAATATTTTTTAAAATTATAATCATAAAATTTTATAAGTAGGTCAAAGTGACCTACTTTTCAATTGTTTTACTCCAAGGACCCAAGATGCATCAACTGACAAAGTTTGATGATTCTAAGCCAATTAGTACCTGTAATATTTAATTAAAGCCATAAAATTTCAAAAGTAGGTCACCGTGACCTACTTTTCAGTTGGTGTACTCCGAGGACCAAAGATACATTGACTGACAAAGTTTGATGATTCTAGCCAATAAGTACCCAAAATATTTAATTACAGCCATAAATTTTCAAAAGTAGGTCACAGTGACCTACTTTTCAGTCAACCTACTCCGAGGACCAAAGATGCATCAACTGACAAATTTTGATGATTCTAAGCCAATTAGTACCCGAAATATTTAATTAAAGCCATAAATTTTCAAAAGTAGGTCACGGTGACCTACTTTTTAGTCGATCTACTCTGAAGACCCAAGATGCATCAACTGACAAAGTTTGATGATTCTAAGCCAATTAGTACCCGAAATATTTAATTAACGCCATAAATTTTCAAAAGTAGGTCACTGTGACCTACTTTTAAGTCGACCTTCCCCGAAGACCATGATGATGCATCAACTGACAAAGTTTGATGATTCTAAGCCAATTAGTACCTGAAATATTTAATTATAGTCATATAAATTGAAAAGTAGGTCACGGTGACCTACTTTTCAGTTGACCTTTTTTGAGGACCCAAGATGCATCAACTTACAAAGTTTTATGATCATAGGACTTAAAATGTCCAAATTATGCCTCTAAAATGCTTTGAAATCGAATGCCTGCAAAGTTCAAAAAGTAGGTCACTGTGACCTACTTTTTAATAATTATGTTTTTTGGCCCCAAGATGCATCATCTTACAAGATTTAATGATTCTAAGCCTCCCCGTATTCGAATTAATGACCTTAATTGTTTTAAAAAAGATTAGCCATTAAATTCAAAAAGTAGGTCAAGGTGCATCAACTGACAAAGTTTGATGATCATAGGCCTTAAATTGTTCAAAATATGCCTCTAAATCATTTTGAAAAAGAATGGCCGCAAAATTTAAAAAGTAGGTCACCGTGACCTACTTTTGAGTCAACATGATATGAGGTCCTTAGATGCACCAACTGACAAGATTTGATGATCCTAGTCCTTATAGTAAGCAAAATATCAACATTTTAATAAAATGTAATTTTTGGTCAACTTTGAAATGACCTTGAGACCACGCCCTTTGCCCCAGGGTAAATCCCCGTGCAAATTTTAATCTACAACATATCCTCATCCTTTTGTGTAAGTTTGGTGATAATCTGCCCAGTGGTTCTTGAGAAGAAGATTTTTTAGCAACCAGTACTTTTGTTTCTATTTTCCTAATTATCTCCCCTTGTTAAAGGGTCACAACCCCAGTTTTAGTATAAAAGGGAGCCCTTGGGGCAAGGATACCCTGTGACAAATTTGACAATAATTGGCCAAGGGGTTCTTGAGTTATGGCCCATATTCTAAAAAGTTTACGCACACCGCACACCGCACAAATGGCCATAGCATTAGCTCTTTGAGCCTTTGGCTCAGAAGAGCTAAAAAGATATATTACATAATTTTATTTATTTTCAAATGAAAGAGTACTGTGATAAAGATGTATTTAGAAACACTTATATCTATTATGGAATTCTGGAGGACAAGAAGATGAGAAAGTGGCTTTATTTTAACCCTGTTTTCCAAGCCATTCATACATTGTGTACTTATGACTTTTCCCCCTTATTTTTTCTACATTTCTAATACTGTATTATATATTCACATGACATGAATTATCTCCCTTTGATTCCTCCAGGGGATTCCTCCGAACACTGCTGTCATCTCAGTAATTGATGCTCACATAGCCCCTTCAGTGAATCAATATACATTTAGAAGGAGGACAATATATCTTAGATACAGCTATGTAAATAAATAATGCATAACCAATAAAATGTCTGTGATAAGAGAGCATCAATTATCATGCTTGGGAGATAGGTCTGTAGACACATCATACCAAGTGTCACATTATACCTCAGTGTACATTTTATTCTTTATCAGATATTGGGAAATCAATAGATTGAGCAGCAAGGTCTTCTCTGTTATGTTTTCATTACCTGATACATATCACTTAAGATTTCAATCTCACAAGTAATATCTGCGGTTTTTAAAATTTTTGTGATTTCATCCTTTAAAGCTTACAGGGGCAATCGGATCTGTGTATTTCTGAAAATAACTGCAGAAACATTTACCATACAATATGTCATATATATATATACAATGTACTTAGTCTAATGAACTGAATTACAGTGAAACCTGTTTAATCTGACATGCACTGAGAGGGCACAAATTTTGTGTCAGAATAGACAGGGTATTATATTACAGTGTAAAGAACATTGAAAACAAGAAAGTGGGAATGAAAATAAAAGGTCAGAATTCACGGTAAAACAGATTGCACAGGTGTCCAATTAGACAGTTTTTACTGTTTATTAATTTATATAAAAGAATTCAAAACTAAAATAATTAACCCTTTACTAGTCAGGTATTCCACCAATGCCAGTTTTAATATATGATATTGTTTGTCAATATCAGCATGAAACAATGCACATCTTGTAAAAAGGAAAACATTCAGCACTTATGTAAATCCCATTATTTGACTTTATTAAGAGTAGGAGATAAATAAATACAGAGGGAAGGATAGACAGTTCCTGAATTTTTTTATTGCCCGGGGGTGGGATGTGGGGAGTGGTTACATTGGCTTATGAGATGATATCTGAAGCAACACCCTGAAGAATGAAAATAGATAAGAATCAATGTGGTTGAAAATGAAGTGATGGTGGGCTTTGATTGAAAATAAATCTTTGGTGCCCCAAAACTATGAAAAGATAGTGGTGATGATATCCACAGGAAAAAATGAGAGCTGTAAAATCTGGGGAGATTTATGTATACATCCCTGATCCTGTCAAAGACTAAGTGTTTGAAGTTATTGTAATTTATTCATATTGATACTGAAGAATCACAATTCACATTGAAGAGAAAAAGTACTACAGAGAATATATCAAACACATGGACATGTGCCCTCGTGCATCCAAGAGCAATCTGTCATTTGTATTGTCCACTTTGTACCAACTTGTATGATCCAATTATATGAACATTGTCTCATTGATTTGTACAACTTCATATCAATGCTTATCCAATAAAATTGTTACTGATTAATGTCCTCATTAGTGAAAATAAACCCTCTCTAAAAATTCATTTTTAGTCACTAATAAGTGCATATACTTAAAACTTAAAAAGAATCACAGAAGTTTTGGAGAAATATTAAATTACTTGTTTAAGAATTATCTGTGATCATTCTGGTATTAAACCCAAACTTCACAATTAAAAGGCCAGGATAATTCACCCCTCTGGATTGAGGTATTAATCAGTTATTTTGTTATCACTCTATGTGTATCTTTTTGTTTGATAACCCCCCACAACAATTAAACAGCAAACTTTAAACATTTGTCTAAGCCACACATTTTTAATTAATGGAAACATATTTATATATACAAGTATATTGATATGACTATAAACAATACATTAATGATTTTTTGGTAAAAGAATTCTTCAAAAGGTTTTTTCCTTAAAAACTGCAACAGGATATCATTTAAACAAAAAAATGCTTTCTGTGGTTGTTAGTATGAGAATTAATGTTGCAGAGAAAAACATAACCTGCAACCCACTTACTAACTCGCATAAGCGGATTATGTATTTTTTTCTGCAATAGCTTAATTCATGTACTAAAAAGAACGAAAGACATTTTATTGTTTCTATTTATGTCTGTATAAATAATCATGTCAAGAAGGATTAAGTTCATCAAATATTGTATTAATATTGATATGTACATCATCGTATGTTTCACTGATGGAAGAGCCACTGCTCAAAAAATCTATACAGGTGGCTTGCTTTATAAGCAGCATTAAAGTATTGATAAACTAACATAGTTTTCTTAAGAAATAGGGGAGATAATATTCTGAATCAGTGGATGTAAATATTATTGTTTCAAAGTACAAGATTACCCCTACATCATTTCAAGTATCACATATTAAAAATCAATTTAGCATATATAAGCAGAATAAAAACAAAAATATTCATAAGGCCATGCAAGCTGAAAATATTCTTTGCAGTTTCTAGAACATTAAAAAATCCGTCCTGATAAACAGTTGAGAAAAAAATTTGGTCAGGTGCAATTTTTAGTGAGTCGGTAAGCAACTGCAAACAAACAATATTTTATTTTAGGCCTTTATACATCTATATGCGCTAGGTTTTGTTTCCAAATGCAGACAGAAATTGAAAAAATCTGAATTTTTTGTGCTGGGTCTGACAATACCAGTTTGCCTTAATCTTGTTGCTGTAGTCAATCATACTTACGGTGAGACACTGCATAAGACTTCCTTCAAAAGGCCGCTGAAAGGCTCGGAGGTCAGAGCACCAGTCTAGAAGCTCACGAGCAGCATTCTGAAATGCTCCGGGGGACCCCAAGTGCTGAAAAGGAAAATATATAAATTTGCATGTTTTTTTTTATTAATCTAATTACTTCAATCTCTTACCATCACACTTATGATAAAACAAAATCAAAGGGTTCAGAGAGACAAGGACGTAATTTGGCTGAATTTCTGTAGATTATATTTATTAATGCACAATTTAGTCATATGCATGTGATACATTTCTGTACTAAGTCTGATGAAGAATGAAGAGGTGCATACTGGTCACAAAGATAACGCTGGTAGTTTTGTTCTTACTGAAATCTTCACCCACATTATCCTATTAAAAAGATCTAGGTACAAGATAAATTCTTATATTTGGACTCCCTATTCCCAACCAATAAGACGTTGTCACAGGTTTGAGGAAAGTACATATGAAAAAGAAATTTGTTGTTGATCTATTATTTATGGTCCAATGTAACCAGATAATTTTTTTTGATCATCACAACTTATATGTCCTGTTTCCTTATTATCTCCCTTTGAAAATTGTATGCCCCTCTCTTTGCATGAATTTGAAATCCCCCCCCCCAAAAAAAACTATGCATCAAACAAGCAAAATCAAAGAATTGTGGTCCCTGCTTTTGGTGTCTTAGTGGTATTTATGGCATGTCTGTGTGTCTGTCTGTGTGTCACGTTTTGTCTGTCCATAATACAAAAAAGATTCAAACTTTTGAATAAATGAAAGTTTTGGCCAAGATTAAAGTTTCTTAAAACTTCATCAAACTTGAAGAACAAGGTCATGAGGTCAAATATATAATACAGTTAAAAGGTTTTATCACAAGTAATGTACGTTAAAAAATATGAATGCCTCGTCTCTTCTGGAGCAAATTTGCTGCCAAAGTTAAAATGTTAGATAAGTAGGTCAAACTTCTAGGTCAAGGGCTTGAAATCAAAATAATAGTACTTTCTGAGAGGTCTTGTCACAGGTAATGCACATGTCAATATGAATACCCTATCTTCTCTCATTCAAAAGTTGTCACCAATTGTAAAATTTTTGAAAAGTAGGTCAAATCTCAAGGTCAAGGTCAAAGGGTAAAAAATGATAGTGCTTTCTGAGAGGTCTTGTCACAGGTAATACACATATCAAATATGAATGCCCTTTCTTCTCTCATTCAGAAGTTATCACCAATGATAAAATTTTTGAAAAGTAGGTCAAACCTCGAGGTCAAGGTCAAAGGGTAAAAAATGATAGTGCTTTTTAAGAGGTCTTGCCACAGGTAATATACATGTCAAATATGAATGCCTTATCTTCTCTCATTCAAAAGTTATCACCAATGTTAAATTTTTTGAAAAGTAGGTCAAACTTCAAGGTCAAAGTCACAGGGTCAAAAATCATAGTGCATTTGGAAAGATTCCTGTCACAGGTTTTAGCACATATGAAATATGAAAGCCCCATCTTTTCTCATTCAAAAGTTATGCTAACAGACTAACAGGCATAATGACTGACAGATGAATGAGATTAATATCCCCTCACTTTCACAGAAGTGGGAGACAATTAGTCTGAATTTGGACTCCTGCATGATTTTAGAGATGACATAACTTTAATCAAGAGGATTCATATGAGCCTTAAATTCTAATATGAGCACACAATTGTGTATTATGACTTTACAAAAATTCAATCAAAATTTCATGGTCCTGATTATACTTTATTTCTTAGAACATTGCTTAGACAATTTCATATTTTCTTTTGCAAAGACATAATTGACAGTTTTTAATGTTCTGCTGAACTGCTTTGATGAAACTTCTGCAATGTGGTAAGAATAAGTTAACAGCTAAGAAAACAGAGCATGATTTGGCAGCCGTAACAGCTCAGAAGACACTCTCCGATTTCTTCTCTAACTTGATATTCCAGTGCACATGTTGAGCTACTCAGCATTTCTCTGCACATTTTCAGCAGGTGCAGCACTTGTTACATACAAACCAATATTTTGACAGAAATTTGTTACAGATATGAAAAAATCCTAAAAAAAACATTAAAAAAAAATCAAATTTAAATCCAGTAATTATATATTTATGTACATATGTCAAACTGACTATTTAGATACTAGCTGAAATGAATAACATTCTTTATGGATTCTGTTTTATTTATAGATTAGGATCAAGGTTAGGTCAGTTTGGTTGTGAAGATGGTTACCCTACCAGAAACAAGAAGAAAATGGAGGACCTTCTTTTGCTGCAGATCTTATTCACCATTGCCTAACCTTTTTTTATGTTGTTGCTCCTTGTCATTATGTGTTCAAAAATTTTTGACAAAACTCACTTTGTCAAAGATAATTAAAGAACATTCAATAATTGATCTGCTTTTCCTGTCCACAGTTCATCAATTCAAATCTTGTTAAATTTATACAAAAATCATATTAATACTTTCAAAAATTCCTTTTCAGAAAATTTGAATGATTTGGTTGATACTATGCCTGCAAGGAATTGGCACTTACTATCGTGTTTATATCATCATATAAATTTCCACCGTTTATCGTCCTAATTCAACATCCAAATGTCAAAGTATTTAGGTCTGATTTCTTAAAAAGTCAATTTACACACTGAAGAGTACTTAATGTAAAAAAAAAAATTCCTTAAAAGTAAAATCTGAATTGCAAATTAAAGATTTGTTACTAAGAGAAGGGTGTAAAGGGTTGTGATTTGCAGTGTTAATTTGTTTTTGAATGCTGCTTATTCTATTTACAGCATCTCTCATATTATCTGCCTCCAACTTTTTTTTTTCTTTGCAGGTGTTTCTCATCATTTCAATACGCTTGAACCTATCCATAAATACATCTTTTATTGTTGAGAGATAGCTGTGTTCTTTTTCACTGGTAGCACTGCTCTTCTGCTATGAAGAGAAAATAGGGCCTATTTTTTGGCAGCATGTCTGTACATCTCTTGATGATCTTCACATTTGTAATGTTGTTGCATTCTAGCCAGAGTTTAGTTATTTTGTGTAATAATGTTTCTAGATAAATTGTCTGATTTCTTTGGCTTTGATAGTAATAATTATATATTGTTTTTATTGCATTTTGAAAGACTGTAATATTTTTTTTTATTTTAGTATAGTACATGTACTACAATGCAAAAAAATATAAATAACATAATTAAAATTAAATCTTCGATTTCTAATCAAAAATACAGATATAGGCAACAAGATATTTTTGGGGATATAGACCCCCCCCCCCTCCCTTTATAAAAACCCAATGAGGTCTGGGAGACATACCTGTTTAATACAGCTGAGGCGGTCATTGGTTTGTTGAATATGTCTTTCCATTTCATTCATGATGCTGGAACTGTTTGACACTTGTTCTAAATCTTACATCCTTTATAACAGTTTGTCATGGATTTGTCATAGAGAACCCTTTTAGGAGCAACATTTGTATTTCACATCATAAAAATGTCAGTTGCTTCCTAATTTTAACACTGTCTGCTATTTTAAATTGAGGTAGAAGCTTCTGGTATATTGTTTCCAATCAGTTTTCTTTGATTGACTTCCATGTTGCCTCTTCAGTGCGTCTACATCTCAGGTCCCAGGGAAGCTACATTCAAAGGTTCACTCTTCAGTTTTCCATTGGTGTGTTTTGTGATCAACTTGAAAGCAAATTGCAGATATCATTTTCTGGAAAAGGAAAAAGAGGATTTTCATAATTTCGAAGGACTTTAGTGTATACTAAAATTATACATTTTAAAAAGTGATTTAACCAGGAAAACAATTAATACTATTGAAATATACACATTTAACATGATCAATTTGTATTTATGTAAAAAAAATTTCCTGTTCATCTGTGAAAAGGGAAAAGGAATCATATAGACTGAGTTTTTACATCCCTATTTACAAATCACAGCATTCCAATGTCCAAGATAAAAGGGAGAATATAGGGCATTAAAATAAGGATGAAAGAGGAACAACTCTTGGTTTAAAAAAAAAAAAAGAATCAACAATTAATTAAGAAATATCTATATACGATGACACGCTCCTAATCCTGGCTAAAGCATGCGAAAACTTTAATGTAAATCTATAATATAACCCAACAAGAGTTGATGATAAGAGACATTTCTCCAGTGTAGACAAAACAGTCCAACCCATATCAAGAGTGATAACACCAATGCATTATCAGCTAATGTATAGTGATGTACACATGCTACACTATGTGGGTTGTAAGCTATCTAAAGAGTTTAATATTTTTTGTGAATAGTTTCACCCTAATTTTCTCATCACATGCTGTTCAAACTCTGGTGTATGACCAAAGCTGAAAGCACTATTTACAGATGATCAGAAGTCGTCATGCTTAATATACTGGTAATTCACACAAAATGATAGGATTGTCTCATAGTTCAATTAATAAGAAACTAGATCATTATGAGAAGGATCGCCACTAGGTGATCTCCTGATTGAAAAAAAATTACGCATTACAAACAACAACAACAACCCAAATCAATTACGCATATTCTGTTTATTACAATGGCAGAAAAAATGTAAAGGGCTGGAAAACTCGGATCAATAGCTCAAATCTAGAGTGTTATCAATTTACAAGACTCTTTCCAGCCGCTCTTTCTGCGCATTCACTAATATCTCTGTCCCCAAGGTGAACTGTGCTGTATTAAATAGAGGTAAAATCCCTATGAAAAATTTAACAACAGAATTTACTCTGAATAACTGAATAATGATGTTTACACAAAAGTTGATACCATTTTATTGCCTTAAGTGCTCTCTAAAAAGTACAGGCTAGTGAACATTGAGTGATGATGAAAAATATCTAGATCCATGTATGTGATTTCTTGTAAGCCAGCCGAGTTCGCAGTGAGAATGTTAACAAGGGTGTTATTGGAATCCCAGGAAGTAAGCGGGATCAGTGTATCTAATGATGCTCCGCTACTGCTTACACCTTATTTACAAAACATAAATCAAGTACTTGCCAGACAGCATTTGAAATGAAGTAATCATTGCTGCTTGCTAACTATTACTGTTAACAAGGACTGCTTGATTGTTTTAACAAGACAATATCATCAGCTGATTCTTTTATGCCTTGCCAACTATTTAATTTTCCATCCAGACTCATTAAAGCCTGGTAATGCTCATATTGGTTCAATCAGTAGAATTCCTAAATAGGGCATTCAACTACAACAATGGAAAAATAGTTTATTCCTCTTACAGGAAGGGGAGGAAATGCAAAATAATTTGTTGAACCTTTTTCTGGTCTGTGACATTTTTTCTAAAACACACACAAGAATCCACTTGCAAAGTAAAAATGAACAATGTCACACATCATAAGAGAAGCTAGACAAATCGGAAAGATGAGTAGTGAACAAGTAACACTTGTACATACAGTCTCTATGGATGAAATGACACTAACAAAAGATGAACAATTAAACACCTGACTTGGAAGTATAAAAGAATTTCGTGTGATTAAGACTGCACCAACAGACCCTCAAACACCTAGCCTATCCTGTTACACCAATAACAAACTTAATCTCCATTTCATCACACAGAACAATTGGAGAACTTGCTAGGAAAATTTACAACTCTACATAAAGCAATTGGATATGCATATTTTTTTTTTATATTTTCAAATAGATCAAATATTTATATAAGTTTCTATATTGTTTTTGAGACATGAATCAATCGTGAAAATCACATCTATTCTGCTATTCTGTCTCCTCTTTTTCATTTTTATTTATTTATTACTAATTATATTATTCTTATTTTATTCTTGATAACAGTCCATCACTGATTAAACTATATAATATTTAGTGTTTTATCTTTAGGAAACAATTGATTACATTTGTTGACTTTTGTTCAATAGTATTGGAAAGATTATATTTTCCTCAAACATAACTTGTTAACCAATGTATTGATAAACATAAACCATATTTCAACAATGTTTGTTTAAACTATTTGTACAATCTGCATCATATTAACACAAAACTGATTGCACCTATTACTGTAAAACAGTTGGGAAAAGAATGCCCATGCTATGCTAATGCCTTTGGCTCTTCCTTTTGTCGTTTGACCAATGAGAAAATAGTATAAAGTTATCACTAAACACATTTTATTCTAGGCTTAAGGACCCTCTATACACTGATGAAAACTTTGAGAAAATTATATTGTATAAAGGTGAAAATATTGAGTTGATCTATTTCACTTTCAACATAGGGTTCCTGTCATTTTCCCCAGGATAAATGACAACAAAGTTTCAACAGAAATCACTGTTGCTTACTTAAATAGGGAAAACACATGCATATAAAGTATTCATTTACTTCATCTTGATCTAATATGACTCAGAGAAATTAATTGAATTGATTACAAACTGCGTATTACACTGTAGATTTCAGTTTATTCAATTTAAAATCAAAGGACAATTTAGCACTCTGCCTTAAAGTATCATGGAATGGAACTCTTTAGTGTGCAGTGTATAGAAGGGTCCTTAAATTCTATTTTATTGATACTGTAACTGAAAGAGGAAATGTGATGTACTAGACCTGGATCCAAACATCCAAATTCAAAATGCCCAGAACATGGGTAGACACTTGACTGTCAACCTTCTGTCCTGCCTGTCAAGTGAACAAACTCTGATCTCCAGTATGTCAGCATTCTATGATTGAAATCATGAGGCTTGAAAATATCATCAAAGAAAAAAAAATTAATGAACCTGACACCAAAACAAGTACCCCTGTAAGCACAGCAGTGGTGGATCTAGAGGAGGGATAACCAGGGGGAAAACCCCTCCCTTTTGATTTTGTGAAAAGAATAGTAAGAATAAAATACTTTTTTCACACTGACTCAGCTAAGTATAAGTATATAAAACATTCATTTCTATTTGATCATAACAAATATCAGAAAATTTTGAAAAATAGCTTTTAGTGTATACTGGGCCTCTTCAACAAGGAAATTTGCAAAAGATAATTGACTTGAAAAAATACATCTGTTCATTGAAAATCTGGTTTTCATTGAGTTATTCTGACTAATTAAAAATGAAATGAAATAATTACGATAGATTTTCCACACTTTTTAAAGATATTATAAAATATATTAATAAAGATATGTTATCCATGTAAAATACTAAATTATGATTTAACTCGTACAAAATTTTAAATAGTGTTCAAGTAATTTCCTCAATATTCCAAATTGTCATTACAAGCACTATCATGGTTGTGAACTAAATTCAAAATCTATATTGAGATATAATGATGTAATCTGAAAATTTTTGTGTTTTGGAGTAAATAATCCGTCTTTTAAATATTAATTGCAAATTCCAGAAGGTCTCGGGGGCTTTGCTCCCTGAGCCCCACCTGAGGGGCTTACCCTGGACCCACTGAGAGCTTCAAAACAACCCCAGGCCCCCGGCCCAATTTTGCTTAAACATTACATTTTGGCTGGCTATGCCACAGACAATGTATTTATTCATTTCTTATATTTTTCATGGAACATCACTATGAACTAGAGTTGTAAACTTGTGTGGATCAGTTTCTATATTCAAAAAGTTCTTAATTATTTATTGATAGCATTTTTATCAAAGCCCTGTGCTGTGCTTTGTAAATATAAACATACATTAATTATGACAAAAATTTTCTCCTCACCCCACTCATTTCCAAAATATCTAGATCCGTACCTGCAAAGGAGACCCCAATTATGACCTGACATTATTCTCACTGTTAATATTGCAATATTTGGATACTTTGTAGTATCAACATGTCTGTGTTTCAGTCTTTCAAATTCCTAATTTAGATATGATAGCCATAACTTTAAACACATTTCTAATCCATATTTTTATTAGTCAAGTGACTAACCAGCCTTCAAAGAACAATAAAATTAATTAAAAGTAATTAATATCTAAATCAAATGTAATGACTCTACAGTATAAAATTAACACCAATAATCCATGTAAAGGGGCAGCCACAAAGTGTATTACTGGTAACACCTATATTCAGTGACCAGTCTTGCTGCGATGATTTTCACTGCATTTGATTTGCTGGTTATTCATTATCAGATTAAACTTTAAGCAGACACATTACTGAGTTGTTAGACTCTGCCATTTAAACACCAGCAACCTACCAATTCAAAAAGTATTCGAATCTACCTGTGAAAGAATATGCCTGAAAAACTCGTCACATCCTAAATCCACTTTAAGTCCTCACTTTACTTTTCATATTAATGTCTAACCACCACAACAGTCTAACAATATAAATTGTTTAACTATGTCATCTAGCGTCTCCAATTCAATAGCTGCTAACTTTCTGTGATCCTGATCTGCCCACCAGTCTATACAGACACATAAAGCCCCAACACAGAATATGCTTTTGTCAAAATGATATTTATCTGATAATAAGAAATAGTTGTTGAGTGGCAGTCAACGGGTTACAGGTAAATCTCATTTCGAGGTAGATCAGGTCATTTGTTTTTGAGATCGGAGATCCACAATCGGAATTTTAAAATTCTGACTTTTAAAAAAGACACCTGAGGTTTATCATATAATCCTCAATCAATAATGAGCGAGCAACTCTTGGGGGAAAATCTTCTTCTTTTTTATAGCCCCACCCTTTAACCAGTTGGCTCCTGATGGACCGTTTTCCTTTTTTTTTACTGAGAAAATCTGATTGTGACTAATTTTCAATCATTTGTAGACATTACCAGTAAATATTTTGATTTAATATCAAGGGTCAGAGGGAAATGTGCAAGCTGGCAATTCTGATGTTCAAATCAATGCAACCTTTTCTAACTTGAGAGGCACATATGCCACAATGATCTCTTGGTATATACTGACAAATTAAATCCATAAATTCAAATAAAATCCCTTATTATATGTCTAATTTAGGCTGAGGGGCTATATATAGCACAATTCCAATTTAAAGTGTGAGTACATTTTATATATATTTATCCTTCAATATTGTTTATATATTTCTATGTAAAACTTGTACACATATTTTAACCCCATTTTGGTCCTTCACACCACTTTTTGAATAATTTGAATTTGACAAATCTTAGCTTTGTTGCTTCTGAGCTGAATATTTTATGTATTTCTATGAAAGAAATTCAGTTCCTAACTTTGGTCCCATTCTGATGGCTCTAAGCTATCATTGCAACAAACATGAGATGTTGATTGCTTCTAATTTCACACTCTATAGTTTTCCAACATACCCTTTAGTACTGATAAAGAATACAATGTAGCAAAAAAAAAGCATTCTGACACTACCATATTTTCATAATGAGGAGTGAAGTGTTTGAATATCACAAAACTCAAAAATAAAAACAAGACGTTTCTGTGAAACACTGATGCCCTCATATGTCAGCTCATTGCCAAGGTTATGGTTTCTCAAATTAAAGTAAATTAAAGTGGTACTCTAAGTCAACACGGTCAAAAAGTCAAAACTGTTGGTACCCAAGGGAAGGTCTTGCCACAATGAATACACATGTGAAATATGAAAGCCCTAGCACCAACCATTTAGAAATTCTTGTCAAGGTTAAAGTTTTTCAAAGTGTTGGTACCCAAGGGAAGGCCTTTTCACATGGAATACACATGTGAAATATGAAAACTCTAAAATATTGTTCCCCAAGGAAAGGTCTTGTCACAAGATATACAATTGAAATATGAAAGCCCTAGTACTAACCATTCAAAAATTCTGAACCATCACAGGAACTCAGTCAGTAGAGCACTCGCTCCCTGATCAGAAGGTTTTATGTTCGAATCACTGCCACGACTGACCAAAGTTGATAAAAAATAGGTAGCAACTGTTCCTTCGCCAAGCGCTCCACACTTTGGAGTGAAAGTTGCAGGTTTTTCGGATGAGACCTTAAAAACCGGGGCCCGTGTCATGGTAGGCGTTGGCATGATAAAGAACCTTCACTGCTCAATGGCCCTGAGTGCCAAGTAAAGGTCTAAATTTGAAGCCCTTCATCGGTGTATGGTGACATGAGTGAAAAATTCTCGAACGGGTCTACACAATAAACAACACACAATTAATCAATTAATCAATCAAAAGTTCTGGTCAAGGTTCAAGTGTAAATTTTGCAAAATTGGTTCAAACACCAAGGTCAAGGTCAAGAGGTCAAATATATTGGTACCCAAAGAAAGGTCTTGTCACAAAGAATATACATGTAAAATATGAAAGCCCTAGCTCCAACCAATCAAAAGTTATGGGCAAGGTTAAAGTTTTTGTGAACAAACAGATAAACAGAAAGATGGATAGGGAGTATTCACAGAAGAAAGCATTATCTCTTTGACACAACTGCATCTGGGCAAATTTAAAATGGGGCAAAAATAACCCTGTATATACAGTATATACATTGTGCAGTATTCCTTATCTAAACAAAAATGGATCAATCTGAAAACCATATTATTCATCCTTTAAATTATTCCATTTTTTAAAGCTTTATTACAATGCATTCAATTTTTGTTGTCTAATTTTTTTTTATAGCACGACAGTTTATCCTTTCAAACTTTGCTGCAGAAGCAAAATTGGTTGTTGACAGTTGTGATGCCCTGCTTTGGTAATACTGTATGTAATAATCCATAGTTAACTTCTTTTGGATATAATAATTAGTTTTGAATAAGAAAATTCAATAATACTGTTCTTTTACAGTTGAACTTGGATATCTAGAGCATCAATATATCTGAACACCCTTGGATATGTTAAAATGAGCTAGCTAGTGGTCCTGTCATTTCTAGTGATATACTTATCTCAAAGTCCTGCATATCTTAAAGTTTTTTACAGTCTTGCTAATTTTGAAATATTGAGGTTTCAACGTACTCAACAGAGATAATAATCTAGGTACTCTACCATAAATCCATGAAAAATACATCAACAAGTAAGTCAATGATTTAACTGATAAAAAGTTCCACAAGGCTGAAAATACAACAGTGTACCACATTTGACGTTCTTGGTGTAAAAATTATTTTCTTCATATAGTCAACAGGCTTGCTGAATATTTTGTTGACTAAATGTTTGTTTTATTTTTGTTTTTTGTGTTTAGTTAAATGGAGTCATATCCCTTCTTTTTTGTCCTTTTCTGACATTTTCATTTTATTAATAATTAAAATATGATTAAAAATGTAGTCCTTAAAGCAAAAAGTTCCTCCTATACAGGTTGAAGAAAATTTTCCCTTCAATAATTAAAAAAAAACAAACAAAAAACAAAACAAAACAAAAAAGACCCACACATAAATCTATAGAAACTTAAGAAGTTAACCAGAAGTTCTCTTTCTGATTAATCAAAACTAATGCAATATTAAGTACAGTGCACTCATAGTATAAACTGAATTTTCCTAGCCACACTATCTATTCTAGTTGCAGTCTGTGTAATTATAAACAAAAATTCCCCAATCATGTGCACATCCTAAATCAGAACATCTTTTTGAGATATCTTTTTGACAGGCAGACAAACAAACTAGATGAAACATATGATCTGTCCAATTAATGCAGGAAACTTATCATCAAGGTAAGAATTCCAATAAATAAAATTAATAGATCACAGCTTTCTTAATATTTGAGAAAGATTAATTAATTACAATGAATTAAATCTTTCTTAGAAATATTCCCTTCTATGCGAAGACTGTCAAAATATGTTTAGATGAGTTTATCCTCTCTACATAGACAGGGGAATTTACCTGTCTTTTGAGAACGGTGAACTGCCTGTCGAGGTGTAATGGGAATCAACCAAAATTCCTCCAACACCTGATTTTTCACTCTTTCATAATGTAGTTAGTAACTGGTGTATATCTCTCCAACAACAGCTTCTCTTGGAGCAATAAACATGGTGATTAAGGAATTTCAGTCATTCAAAAGATTTCAATCTCCAGTTTTGTTGATTATCTTTAGATATATCCAGATTTATCAGCAAAATTTGTATTGTCTGATGAAGATTTAATCCAAAAATTCCCTCTTGTTTGTAAATAAAATACAGAAAAAATTTGTGACAAAATAGTTCCATACCAAATCTATACCTTGATTATGTCATACTGTGCAGCCTAGATAACAATTAATTTTCATCATGTGCAGTTTTTTTTTATTGCTTTATATTGATGACTTTACTTTGCTAACTTTGAAATTAATTCTCTCTTTTTGTATGCAGAACAGCTTGCTGTTTCAGCTATTTGTGTATCTAAGATTCTCTTTCAGTTCAATGAGATTTATATGTTTGGAGGAATTAAAACACTCTTTTCAGTGTGATTCATACACCTCAAAAATGCTCTGAACTCCCCAAAAGATATGTCACCCACACTGACAGAGAACAAAATAAATTGATAGTGAGGCGCATGGATGTTCCATTACAATGTGAAGTGAATTTGTAAATAAATTTACCATTTCATTTTTGATATAGTAATGTATTGTGATCTTGATCATTTTTCCACCTAACTATGTATTTTGTCAAACAAGTGAATATTGACTTTAAGAATTATTCTGTCTATGTACATGTAGAGCAGATGTTTTAAGGCTAATGTCTTGTTTCAAAAAAACACTGGTATTACTTTTCTTTTCAATGAGAAATTCCAACCAAAATATTGTGACTTTTTCTTTAAATCTCCTCTTTGCAGTCTGATTTATATTGGCTCTGTTAATATTAGTTCTTGCCTCTTAAAAACCTAGTATTTAGGAACAGCATGCAATGTTTAAATTGATCTGTGATTTGTCTATAAACTTTAAATCTCACCCCGCTCACAATACCTACACAAATCAACTGTCAGCAGATCTAGAGAGGTTTTGTCTCACAAAACAAGTTGTAACACCTGATATTTCAAATATTTACCATCAGTTGGTGTTTAACATGGCAGGCTTGTGGCTAACAACAAATTATTGTCCAATTATCTCTGTCCTTTATCAGCCATAACAGCCATGGGTCAATGGAGCAAGCGTGGTGGTAGGACTTAATTCAGTGCATCCCCACCACGCCAATCAGTCTCAAACTAGAATCTAAATCTTTTCTACCATTTAAGAATCTAAGCATTTCTTACCACTTTCTGAGATTTAAAAAAAAATCTATCCAAATTCTGGATAATTTTAGAATCAACTTCAATTTGTGATTGAAATTTGGCCCACAATTTTCTGTGTAATGAAATTCTAGACCTCTGTCCTTTTTTGTGTTGGAAGTCAACAATAAATCTTCACTTTAAATAAAACACAAGCATTTAATACATTGTTAGAGGAAGTGGGCCATTAGGAACAAAAGTAGTATATTGTATACCTACCTTTTATACCTGAGTCCTCTAGATGTTTAAACCAATCACTTCAACAAAAGAGATATTTACTGGTATAAAATATCCTTATCGTCTGTAGAGGTTTACTCCCATGAGCTGGAGATCTAATGACACTTTCCAAAGTTGAAATGTCTAAGTCTGCAAATTGATAAATATATGAGTAACAATTTTGTTATTTCATGAGCCAAGCACACTCAATTGAACATTGACTCTGCACTATCAATGAAATGACTGGCCTGTAGCCTTCAACAGCTCAAAATCCCACAATATCACAGCTAACGCTGTCACTTCATTTCTTTGTTAAATAGCCATCAAAATCTGATATCTGCTGCTGATTAAATCTGCCCATGTGTGTATCCAGCGAGCTGTGAACACATTCAAATAACAAAATATTATTGGCTTACAAGAAACACTGGAGATGTTTTTATTTTCTCTGTTCAGCAGAAGTACACCATGCTAAAATAAATTCCTCTGCTAGTTAAAGGAAGAGAATGAGCGATCTATTAACATTTGATGATATTTCCCCCGCTACTTGAGGCGGTGATTACTCGGCTGCTCCCATGCTGTTTTTAACAACATAGAGGATAAGATGTACAGACAATTTCTTCACCCAGTGTTTTCTCACTAAGCTTATTACCCAAACAAATATCTCTACCCTCCCACTAGCCAATGGCCTCTAATATGACTTAAAATATCTTTTTTAAATGAAAACAATATTGTGCACTGTAAATGTTTCACAACTGAGGTCGATACGTCTAATGAAATAGATACATTCTGTGAATTGACTTTAACCCCCCTCCCCCAAGGAGCCCCAGTGTCCTACCACAAAATGCCACATCAATCACTAGCAAGAGATAAGGCTCGAGAACTTCTGAACAAAGCTTGACCAGAAGAATTGAAACTTTTTGCATCTTCTTATCATCAACCTATCACTGGAACATGGCCACTAGCAAGCGATCCTACACTAATCACAGCGTCCAACACAAACAAATTCAATTACCAACACAGATAATCGGCCCTTTACACTCTCTCACTGAACAGGCTATCTACTGTAATTGATAGATATATTTAACATACACATGAAACTCAAATATTTGTTGGTTTATATCTGATAAATCACACAATTTGAAGAAGTTACATTATGAAGAACACAATGCAACATTATGTCCCTTCAAGATTTCGAACATGTATTATATTGAAAAAAAAATTCCCAGTTTCTTAGAATATTTATTGACACCATATTTCTATGCATCCACCTCCAATACACAGTCTTGTTGGTGTCAAAGTTCAATCATTTCAAGTAATTGATAATGAAAAATCTCTAGGATTATGTTCCCTACAAAGAGTTTGCTACAACACCTTGAACTTGCATGACCTTGTAAAAATGAGTCCAGGTCACAATCATGACCTCAGGTAATAAACTGCTTAAAGATAAAAAAAATATATATAATCTCTCAATTTTGATACTGTACAATTAAGTTACAACTATAAAAGAAAAAGTTGTTTCACTAATCTTACTTTTATAAATTAGGATCCAAATAAAATCTCTGACAACTGACAACATTCTGATGAAGTAATTTCTAGTATTCTGTATTAGTATTTATGAAACCATTAACACTTGAGAATAACTATGACTGACTTGTCTTAAGCACAGTAATTTGTACTGATGTCTACTGCTTTCCTGTTACCATTCTATGGTCTTGACATTGAGTACAGTCCACAATTTTTCAGCAATGACCTTGACATACTTAGATGATTAAATATCTTCAAATGAATCTTTATTTCTTGAATATATGAACTATAATTATTTTTGGTAAAAGTACCAGTACATGTATTAGCTAAGATCAGAGGCAAATAGTTTTGGCTAGATATAGTCCTTAGCCTTGACCAAAAATGTCAGTTTGAACATGACATACCATCTGGAAACATGGTAGATTTACATTATTGGATTCTTAAACATTTTTTTTTTAAATAAAGTTGCATTACAAACTATGTGGCACCCAACATTTTATTCTCTTCTCCCTAATTGTAAAATTAAAACAATAATTTTGCATATAGACAAACTGAAGATGTTAAAACTGAAAACAATGACAGCTGGTCAGGATCAAATACCAACAGGGGATAAAATTAATGCCATGCTGTGTACATTGATGTGGTTTAAATAATGCATGATATTTAATTTACAAATCATATATTTTTTCAAGTTGTAAGTCATAAGCTTTAAAGAATAAAAAAACATAGGTAATCAGAGATTACAGAGCTCACCTCAACGAATGTTGTCTTTAAGTAAGGCAAAGTCCCACACTAAACTAATAATCTAGGAGTGTGCATCCCTAGATGCAACATTTATGCAATTTTGGTCTGATAAGGCTTGCAGTTACTTGGGAATGGACTTATCTGAAAACTTAAAACTAGACACTCATTCAGAAAATGTAAGTCAAATCCAGCATTCGGAGCAAGTTTTGAGATTGTTCGTCCCTTGATGCATCATCCATGCAAGTTTGGTTCAGACAGGCCTTATAGTTACTTGGAAATGAGATCTGCTCCAAAAACTTTAATCTGGTCACTCATCCGGAAAATATAGGTCAGATCCAGCATCTGAAGCAAGTCCAGTTGTGTGAATCCTTAGATGTATCATCCATGCAAGTTTGGTCAATATAGGGTTTATAGTTACTTGGAAATGACATCTGCTCCAAAAACATTAACCTGGTCACTCATCCGGAAAATATAGGTCAGATTCAGCATCTGAAGCAAGTCCAGTAGTGTGCATCCTTAAATGTATCATCCATGCAAGTTTGGTCAATATAGGGCTTTTAGTTACTTGGAAATGGGGTCTGCTCCAAAAACTTTAACCTGGTCACTCATCCAGAAAATATAGGTCAGATCCAGCATCCGAAGCAAGTCCAGTAGTGTGCATCCTTAAATGTATCATCCATGCAAGTTTGGTCAATATAGGGCTTTTAGTTACTTGGAAATGAGATCTGCTCCAAAAACTTTAACCTGGTCACTCATCCGGAAAATATAGGTCAGATCCAGCATCCGAAGCAAGTCAAGTAGTGTGCATCCTTAGATGTATCATCCATGCAAGTTTGGTCAATATAGGGCTTATAGTTACTTGGAAATGAGATCTACTCCAAAAACCTTAACCTAGTCACTCATCCGGAAATTGTAGGTCAGATCCAGCATCCGAAGCAAGTTCAGTAGTGTGCATCCTTAGATGTATCATCCATGCAAGTTTGGTCAATATAGGGCTTATAGTTACTTGGAAATGAGACCTGCTCCAAAAACTTTAACCTGCTCCAAAAACATTAACCTGCTCCAAAAACATTAACCTGGTCATTCTTTAGCTGAAATTGCAGCATCTGAAACCTTGACTGGTACAATGAAACACACTAGAAGCATCCTCCATGCATCTCTGACTAATATAGGCCATAGAAGTACTTGAAAAGAAAACTGCTCCAAAAACCTTAACCTGGGACGCCGACGCAGACGCCGACACCGACGCCGACGCCGAGGGTATTACATAAGCTCCCAACTGAATGAGTTGCATTAAAGCCATTAACCACTGCCAACTTAGTTAGATGGAAATTTGTCAATTTGTCTGTCAGCAAGAAGTTCAATATTTTCAATGAGTTTTAAAAAAAATGCAGACTTATTAAGGATCGAGGGAACAAAAATGAGATCCAATGAATGGAACAATATGTGCATCTAGGATTTTTTCTATAATTTTTTAGTCATTGCATCCAGAGCCAGTGCGATAAGTGCTACCATTTTGCAAGTTGTTGTCATCATAGAAACAAATGCATTCATTGAGTAATTCACAACACAATACTGTATAACTTTTTGATTTGACCAATAATAGCACAGAAAAGGATAACTTAGATCATAAAAATAGAAAAAAATACCTTCATTTAGAGGTTAAAGACTGATAATGGAAATGGCATGGTCAATTACAAAATAGGTAATATAGAAAGCTAATACACCAAACCGAGAAACAATCAAGATTACTTTGTTATGTCATATGCAATAATTTGTTTTCTCCTTTTATCCATGTGATGTTTCTTTACATCAAACTTCTTGCTGTCAAAATGTGACATGTGTGATTTATAAGCAGGTTTTTGCATTAAATATGTTTACTGTATGTTTATTTTATTGAGTGTTTACATGCATATATAAAATCTACCATTGCTAAGGAGGTTGCATGTATTAAAAACATCTACAGTCAAACCTCGTTATCTCGAACTCGATGGGACAGGAAAAACTTCGAGATATCCGAGGATTTGAGATATCAGGGGTAAAATACTTAAAGAATAAGTGGTTGGAACTTCAAAATCACTTTGACATATCTATGGTAATTGAGATATCAGTGTTCAAGATATCGAAGTTCAACTATATAAGCACATATTTAAAATTTGTATTTAAAGACCCAATTTTTTTACCGTACGGTTATCTGAGGAGGGGGAGTGGTCTTGGTAGTACTGGTGTTCTTTACCTGGAGAGCCCCAATACTCAAGATGTCAAAAATCCCTATACAGGCTGCATTACACAGGAAGTCCGGCTTTTGGAAATCAGGGTCAACATTACACATTTTGTGCATAATTTTGAGTGAAAACATTTAAAATAAATCATGTACTGAAATATAAAATTTGTAGACTTAACGTTTTCGTTGATATTTTTTGAAGAAAAAAAAATTTAAAAACATATGTTTTTTAATAATCGTAAAATAATTAAAAAAAAAAAAAAAAAAAGGGTGAAAACTATAAAGCAATCATATCAATATTTTAATCACCAATAAAAGAAATTTTTATGATATATTAAGTGTGAATATTGAAATAAAAAGATTCCACTTATTGACATTTACCACGATTGGAATATTATTTACTTTTCTGGCGAACAATGCATGGTGTCCAAATATTTGGCATTTCCGAAGATCCGTGTATTTATGCCCTGTTTACAGGTTTGGATGTAAAAAGAATCTTTGGTAATTCATGGCGTTAGATACAAGATACTTTATTTATATTAGTATAAATATCTTTTCTTATTTAATCCATTGCATTTTGTTATAATTTTCAAATGGTGGGGGGAGGGGTCGATTGTTTCCAATTGAGTTTCTGTGTATCCAAGTGCAAGGTCGACAAGGGCATTACGTACATTCTTAAAATCAAGGCACAGGTTGCATAAGGGGCTCGGAAGAATTATCGGTCTGTGCTGCTACAGAAAGTTTTTCTCTCTCCGAATCTCAGTTATTGAAGGAAGAGAGGGCTTGAATATCCGCTAATTTTTCTTCCAAAAAGTCCTACAGTTATCTTGGACGTCATATCGCTAACAAGTACAAAATAGCAGTGGAGATTGAAAAAAAAAATCACGGTCACTGTTTATTTATCTACTCTCAATTATTTTTCAAAAATAAAATTATCAACCAATATAACAGCAACGATTTTTTTTAACCAGAGTGTATACAAAGCGACCTTTCACGCGGTACATGAAAGTGTTTGACGCGTGACCAGGTAATTGTTTTCAAGACATGCAAACTCAGATTATCAGGTAGCCCATGTAGCTGGCCCGTCAATCAAATCAGAAGCTATTGTCTTTTTAATGATTGACAGGCGGTGTACTATTGATCTTGAATTAGGTAGATTTTGGGGGCGTTAACATAAATTGGGTGTA